GAATGTCAAAGATATTCTGCTCGTGTAGATGATAAATTTGTGACAAATTTATTGTGACAAATGCATTTGAACAAAAGCTAGCAAGCTAGCATGCTAGCTTTTGATCATTTGCATTTGATCAAATGAAATTTGTCAAAATAAAATTTGCTCGTGTGCTTTACGACAGTATTATTTGAAAGCCCTGTACAGTTGTTTTGATGCAGGACCCAAGAACACGGAGATCTGTATGTTTAAATTGCAACTCTTGTCGAAGTTTGAACACAATGTTATCAATCGTGTAAAACCTGGCGAAATTGAATAAATAAATAAATAAATACTTTCTAAACAAAGAACTTGCTTAGTTGGTTCGTCTTCAGTACAGTATGTTGTTATGAAATGCACTATTTAGAACAACGAATTCCAAACAAGCAAGAAATGCAATGAAACTCGAGCATCTCCGTTCGAGTCTCCGTTGAAATTATCAACTTTGCTTCTATGGCCTGGCTGCATGTGAATGACAAAACGAACACAAACGCGCGCATAATTGTCAACTTGACACGAAGTATTCAATACAAATTATACAATAACAAATTGCGATACAAAGTGCTCTCAAATTACACTTTTTGCAATTCAAACCAATACGTCCGCTCCTTGCCAACGAATTTTACTATTGCAAAGTGGAAGCATTGTAATTTAGATTTGTCCATCCCTCCCTTGGTAATTTAATATCCCAGAATCTGGGAGCCACGTGACCAGCCGGCACCAGGGTCTTTCCGCAGCTTGGGGCGTGCGAAGGTAAGAGCCTGGGTACGAGGTTGCCAGCCCCAGTTGTAGTGATTAACTACACTGAAATCAACCAATCAGACTCGAGTAATATTTTTATGTATATTATTAATATCATAAAACAAAAATGACCAAAAATCAATGAAAATATTTTTTAAATTACAATTTGTATTTCAGCTCCCGTAACATGCAGTTGTAAACAAAACCGCACTATTCATTAGAAATAACTTTAGAGAATACCGCTAGACAATGTTAAACAAAACATTGTGGCTTTCTTCGTGTTTGGCGAATCCGCACCTATACAAAAGGTTGCTCGTCTGTAACCGGAACGAAACGGGAAGCCATTTTGTTTTTGTCTGGAGGTGAATAGTGCAAGGATATCCGGAAACGAGCAACCAATCAAATTGCGCGAAAAGCACTATGCACCTCCCGAGTATATGCTAATAATGTTTATTCATTTTCCCATATACACGTTGACTGGTAGGTTCTAACAGTTTCTGTTCTGTCAAACTCACTAGATGAGTTAGACAAGCTGGGTATAGAGTCGATATAGATAGCGTCGGTATTGTTATATTTTAATTCTCAGGTGAAAAGGGTGTTGCGTACACTTTGATGACACCCTCAGATCAAAATTTTGCTGGAGATCTTGTGCGAAATTTAGTAAGTAGAACATTATAGTTCTAAAGAATATTTGTGTACTGTTTTGGAGTATAGTGATAAAACCCCACCGACGGGGGTAATAAATCCTCGACGGCAAATATCCTGACGACAAAAACCCCAAATTACTGAATTCAAACAAAGGAATTCAGTGATAAAGGGTCACAACATTCGGATTTGTTAGTCACATGGATAGTAACTTTTCAATAATATTTTTCTTTATTCTTAGTACTCATTTAAACAGTATTTCCTCTTTTTTATAATACAAACATTCTGATAAGTAAAATTGTTCTGATAAGTAAAATTTTATGTAAGAAATGATAAACAGAAATGTGAGTTGAGTAATTCAGTAATTTGGAGTTTTTGTTGCCGGGGATATTGTCGGTAGGGGATTTTGCTGGTATAGGGATTTTTTGTACGAGAAAATATAAAATTCTCAACTACGTTAAACACTTATGTTTTAGGAAATAGCAAATCAAAATGTTTCTGAGGAGTTACTTGAGTTAGCGATGAAGGTTTGTTTGATATGATAGAAGTAGTATTACCATGAAAATGTTAATCCATGAATCTGCGATAAGGGACCGGTCAGAAAGTAATTACCAGAGGGGGGTTGAGGATAAATGAAATTTCAAGTACATATTTTCATACCCTCCCAAAAACCTATGGAAAAATTTTCGTAACCCCTTCAATGTAAGTGAAAATTTTCACCCCCCTTTTCTATCAATAATTCTGTTTTAAGGCGTTTTTCTACTAGGCGAAATTTTTCGATCGAACCGAAATTTCTATTGTTCAAATTCAAAAGATTTCTGTTTAGTTCCATCTGATTGCTTGTAAGACAAAAGAAAATTTCGATTCGGTCGAAAAATTTCCCTAGTGGAAAACCGCCTTTAACATTTGTCTTGCGTTTATCTATATTTCGAATCTCTCCAGTTTGTGATAACTCTCCCACTTCTTGTAGTGGTAACCATATATCTTCACTCAACATTTTCCGAAGACCGCTGTTTCTGATTCTGACATACTAGCGATAACACCGCGGAAAAACGTCTGCGCATGCACCAAATTATGAAAATTTGAATATCAATTTCTAAAACAAAAACATGCTTATTAATTGGTCAAAAACTAGTAAAACAAACGAGAAAATATAGCAAATGGTTAGACTAGACATTAATTGAAAGCGTCCTGGCATTTAAAGTATGGAATGAAATATAATTCATGTAAAAATTGTTGATTTTAACGGACACGACTTCGAACATTTTTGCAAAATTAGTCAAAACAAAAATTCAAACTAAAAAGTTAAGAAAACTCTCGAAAAGTTAAGCTTCTTAACCCACTCAAATTGTAGATTAAATCCTAAAGTTTAATTATTGTGAACACGAAAATTTTTTATATTTGGCGACACAGTTTTTTTTAAAGAAATGTATCTCAAACGAAAATTCGGAAATTGTCGTTGCTTAGTTGATAAACAAAATGTTTCAGACGATAAATTTGTCAACAATCACCTTTAGTTCATGTTCTTGTACAATACAATTTCTTGAACCATCTGGCTGTATTTATTCCTAGTTTTTAGAATGACATGTTTATTTTTACGCTCGAAATCTGGCTGTAAAGACGCACAATGAAGTCACTCCTTTTTACCGCCATTTTGAGCCTTCGGAAACCGTCGGAACAGCTTCTCATCAAGTTCGCAATACTATTACAGGTAAGGTTAACGCATGCGCAGACGTTTTTCCGCGGTGTTACTAGCGATGGGTTGAGAGTAGGAAAAAACAGAAAAAGTTATTCTTGGTTTATTTCAATTTCGTACTCAGAGCCATCGTTGAGCTCTGGGGACGAGATTGGGTTTATTTCAAACAGAAAAAATTTGCTTCCATTCAATGTAACACTTCCTCGTCAGGTTCTAATGGTGCGAGCTTGCTAGCATTGACAATTCAGATGTATCAGATTTGTATTCCAAACGTTCCACGGATACTGAGTCCTACTTATCATCTGACATTAGTAAAACAATTCTTTCCAAACTTAAATTTGGGCACAAATACATTCAATATTCAACAATAATTATAAAATGTAATTTTTTTCCCTACCTATAGTACTAAGATTTTGGTACCCCCCTAGAGGTTTTTGGGGGTTTTTCGTACCCCCCTCAAAGGTTCTGGGGTTTTTTCGTACCCCCAAAAAATATCCTCCATACCCCCTAGTAAATACTTTATGACCGGTCCCTAATATGTATAATCAAAACGCTTCAGCTTTACACTTGAAATTTCTATTTCCAAAGTTATTCGAAAGGCAAGATATAAAAAAGTAATTTTTTGACGTCATACCTTTGCTGTAATGCCTGTATTAAACTATAATTGTCTGCCTTCACGCTTTTCTTTAAACTTCGGAAAGTACCTACCCACAGTATATGAACACGTTTTCTGATTGGTTTTCTGTTTATGATTCGTCCTTTAGAAAGATGATTTCTATAGTTTCTGTTTTGTTGTAATTTTCAACCAATCACAAAGCCTGTTCACGTAGGCACGAGGGCACCCGTAAATTTGCCACGGCGTAAAATGGTCCAGGGCATATTTTAGTTGACACTTGTATATTCCGCCCCTTTTTCATCAATTAAAGCTGCTTTCCAGATTTCTTTCCAGTTAAACGTTTTTGATACGTGCATGTGCGTACGGAAAAGTTAATTGAATCACTTATGAAATAACTAAAAGAATAAAAGGACAGCATTTAGATTTCTCTATCGTTTAAAGTGTATAGCTAGTTGTCCAGGTAGTTAGTATACTAATATGAAATTTAAAATTATTTGAACTTTATCCTGCGTTCCACTATCTTTACCCATGTAGAACCCCTGGTTCAAAAAGTCGAGATTCAGAGGTGGCAAGGGGAAAAGAGGAAGCGGTGGTGTACGTGAAAGACCCGGGTTGGGAGCACCTGAAACGGTAACGGCACTTCACTTGTTACTGCCTCTTGCTTCTTGTTTAGTTCTATGTTAATAAGTGCATGTGACGTCATGGTACATTAATTATCACTGAGCTCTACAGTATATATATCTGGAGCAAGAACTTGAGTCATTCGACCCATAAGTAGAGTGAAGCTAAGATGGACGAATTGACGTCCAATAGCTATGAAGGTTGCATGTAAACAGTTTTCATACCATTTTCCCAGTTAATTCCAGTTTTTTCTAACGGACCGTAACACTAATCAAGTTATTAGTTCATAAAACCATAGTATTATTCTTTAAATCGATGTCGAAATACGAAATTTCGGTACACTCCTTGCAAACCGTGCAGACAAAAGCAATGACGCCCAATAGCTCAATATTTGGCTTCATGTTTTGGACTCGAGTTCTCGCTCCACATAGATATGGAGCTCACTATTAATTATATGTTAAAAAATTATCATGCTACCGAGAAGGTTAGACGTTTTACTATAGCCTACATAATTGCCTTACGCGACCAAAATGAGGGCATCTGACTCATCTGCGATACTTTTGTGAGGAAACCGCCAACCAAGTACTCAAACTCATCACTTTCGGCAGAGCTTTGAAATGCTTTTTTTTTCTCAAAGAAGTAGAGACCGCAAGGAAAATCGAACAGTGCCATTCTTCGCCCTAGTATGATGTAGTATAGCTGAAAAAACGCACTGTCGTATTGACATAAATCCGAATATTTTTAAAATTCGGGTTGAGGCTCCTGCACGCAATATTGACATGTGGTGTTTATGTAAGTAAAGCCTGACTCTTCATTTCTTTTTAAGGCTTCAACTGCTGGTCCAATGGGATCAGCAAGAAGTTTAGCATCATATTCGTCATCGGTTTCAGCCTCAGCTGGTTCAGGTCCAAGCAGCAGTAGATTGAATGCCTTGAAAGCTGCATTCACAGTAAGTAGCAGAGCAGCCAGCTTCATTGTTTTCCTCACTTGCTCCAAGGCTGCCTCTCAAAGACTTTTTTATTTGGGAGTTATATAAAGGGCACGTCATGGAACCCCGGGCTGGAAGAAAATTGGGAGAGGATTTCTCGATTGTCTCGTTTCCCGCCCAGATTAAAATTCGTCCTTTATAACTCCCAAATTGAAATCCTTTGAGAGGCAGACTTGAAGAAAGTCTTTTGTATTCTTACAATCAGTTCCAAGTAATTGATTGCGTTGAAAGCTACATTCCCGCATGTAGAGCTTCGCAAAGTCCGTCGTTGTTTAGAAACAACGAAGACAAAGGGTTTGCGAAAGACGAAGGAATTTGCGTTTATGAAAGATCGACTTGAAGCAAGACTACTTTCACTGTAACACTGTAAGTTACGGCAGGTCAATTTGTTCGATTACTTATTTCTTTGCTCGAAACGTCTAACCTTCTTAATTTTTCATATTGTCTAAGACCAATATTAAAAAGCGTATATTCAGCCGACTGCTAGCACTGAAAAGAACTTTGAAGATTGATTGAATTATTCAGTTCTGTCGTAGTTGTTAAGATGCAACCATCGTGCAACACCGCGGAAAAACGTCTGCGCATGCGTCCACCTTACCTGTAATAGTATTGCGAACTTGATGAGAAGCTGTTCCGAACGTTTCCGAAGGCTCAAAATGGCGGTAAAAAGGAGTGACTTCATTGTGCGTCTTTACAGCCAGATTTCGAGCGCAAAAATAAACATGTCATTCTAAAAACTAGGAATAAATACAGCCAGAAGGTTCAAGAAATTGTATTGTACAAGAACATGAACTAAAGGTGATTGTTGACAAATTTATCGTCTGAAACATTTTGTTTATCAACTAAGCAACGACAATTTCCGAATTTTCGTTTGAGATACATTTCTTTAAAAAAAACTGTGTCGCCAAATATAAAACATTTTCGTGTTCACAATAATTAAACTTTAGGATTTATTCTACAGTTTGAGTGGGTTAAGAAGCTTAACTTTTCGAGAGTTTTCTTAACTTTTTAGTTTGAATTTTTGTTTTGAATAATTTTGCAAAAATTTTCGAAGTCGTGTCCGTTAAAATCAACATTTTTTTACATGAATTATATTTCATTCCATACTTTAAATGCCAGAACGCTTTCAATTAATGTCTAGTCTACCCATTTGCTATATTTTCTCGTTTGTTTTACTAATTTTTGACCAATTAATAAGCATGTTTTTGTTTTAGAAATTGATATTCAAGTTCCCCGCCATATTTTCATAATTTGGTGCATGCGCAGACGTTTTTCCGCGGTGTTCTATTTAGCCACATGCTGTCCACAAATTATTGTGGACAGCGCGTGCGCAAATGAAAATACATGCTTTCAACTTTGCTCTATCACATTCTTGCAAAAACAGCGTTTTGCAGTCCCCCCCCCCCCTCCTTTCAAAATTGAAATGCTAATACATTGGTTGAGGTAAAGCTTTGTGAAATACGTTATCAAAATCAACATTGCATGAACATATGAACATTCATATTTTAGTTTTCAACTAATTGTCCACATAATATTTTCCATGACTGTAGCTTCGGCACTGGTTATAAATTAATAAACGTGAAAGTAGATGAACTATTTGTTTAACCTCATGATACATTGTTGATTGTTGACTTGTTGTTGTGACTTTATTTTAGCAGGGTAGCCCATTCAGCTGTTAAGCTGGTATCCATAGGGGCCCTGCATTGAACGATTCAGCAATGAGTAATTTATATTCTCACTTTCTTTTAGTCGCAATACAGAAGTCATTTCACTCTGTCAACTGCAAACAATAAATGGGACGCTTCAAAAGAACATTCAAGTGTAAACCCACTAGAAGACCAAGCTTCACTTAATAAGGAAGAAAAACGTAAAGTGAAGAAATCAAGATGGAACTGACATCAGTATTCCTGCTTTCTGGATTACCTCTTGTGTCAGCACATCGCGTGCCGACCTTAGGGCCTTGTTGTTTTACTGGACATACATACGCCACTCAGTATTGGAGGGGTGGCGTTACAAACATGGTGTCAACCTCATAAATGTTGATACTTTTAGAAGGAAAATTATGAAACTACCACTATATAGAATGAAAAAAACTTACATCATTTTCTAACTGTGCTAACTGCCGACTCTCCAACGTCCCGCGAGGGCCAGGACCGTAGTTCCCTGTATTTTTCATTCTCCATGCATAATAAGCTCAGATCAAACTAGCATGACACTCGTAACCGAGAGCGACACTGACGTTGTAATAACATTGCACTTGACTCATGGCAGCCATGTTGGAGGAACTTTAATGAAGAATCTCACTAGCAGCCATTGTTGTATTTTCCTCCAACATCGCCGCCAAGAGATTCATTGCGACCCAACAGGACCAGCAGAAGAAGAAATTCGAATTCTTCATTTTCGTGTATCGCGGATAAAGATTACTCCGCGGGGAAATGTTAGCAGGCGCTGGGGATGGCGAAGACGGGAGAACGCCCTCCTCCCCCGTAATGCCTGCAGGCGAGGGAAAAGTTTGTTGCCTGTAGCCGGTGCAATATGCTTGATTTACATGAAACTATGAAATCCGTAGCTTATGGTTGTAAAAATATTTTAACAAGAAAAGTTTAAAAAATGATATATGAATGTACATGTATTAAAATGCTTCCGATTTTTTTGCCACCAATTTACTAATGGTGTATTTGATTTGTTAGCGTGGCACGTTTTTCGCTAACTAATCACACTGCTGAAATTGTTTGGCTTTAGTTTAGTGTCATTCCTTTCCACAGAATGTCAGAATACAGAGACTCTTAGTGAGATAGTTTTCAAACATCGTAAAGCATAAGCAAAGTAAGTTATTAAGCAGGGATAAATATTAAAGGATGCATGCACGGATAAATAGGGATGCAGGGATAAATAGGGATGCACGAAAAATCGCAACATCGTTCACGAAAAAATCGAGACAACGAAACTTTCGTTCACACGGATTAAATAAATCACGATATATGCATGTAAAGTGTAAGCGCTTTTCATCTCTGCGATGCAGACTCATGGGACGTATGTGAAAATAGTCGAGGCCAATGAATAAAGGAGAATAATCGGTAAGGTCTATTGATATGGATTCAACTACCTGAAAAATACAGGAGAACTTCGACGCGCATTTTCCACGTACTTTTCTCCCTACCAATCCGAAGCTGTGCTTTATAGTATCGCCGGGCACTATACCTACACTGGCACAGCAGTTCAAGATTATACCAGCATTTTCCATTTCTGGGGCCGATAGTGCAAAAGTCACAGTGACTAACCAATGAGAATCGCATATGCTACGCGGGCAGGTACGGGCATGTAGAAACATTGCGTAACATAAAATGATTATTAACAATGGCGGCATTCAAAGATATCTCTATTTTCATAACTGGTTGTAACCGCGGCGTTGGTCTTGCTTTAGTTAAACAAATATTATCATTACCTGATTCTCCTAAAGTATTATTTGCGACTTGCCGTTCTTTAAAGTCTGATAATTCGCGGGAGTTACGTGAGCTTGCTGAGAAGAACCCAATCTTACATCTTCTGGAGTTGGACGTCACCAACGCCTTGCAACTTGAAAATGTCGTGAAAGAAGTTGAAGCAAAGCTAGCTGGTTCTGGCTTGAATCTTCTTATTAATAACGCTGGTATTTATGACTTAAAAAATTCTGAATATGGCATTGTTTCGTGTACACTAGATGAGGTTACCCGTGACCTGATGATGAAAGTCTATGAGACAAACGCAGTTGCACCTCTCATGATTGTAAAAGCTTTCCTACCATTATTACGCCGAGCTGCCAAAGATCCACCATGTCAGCCGCAGGCAACAGTTGTTAATATTTCCTCTGAAGATGGTTCAGTTGCACTAAATATGGGTGGCCATTACCAATACAAGTGTTCTAAAGCTGCAGTAAATATGTTGACAGTTTCTCTCAGTCTCGACTATGCTAAAGATGGAATAACTGTAGTCTGTGTTGACCCTGGTTGGATTAAAACTGACATGGGAGGCAAAGCTGCCCCACTTACCCTACCTCAAGCAATACCATCATTGGTGAGGTTGATTGGATCATTAGATCTGTCAAAAACAGGGTCATTCTTGCAGCATAATGGCCATACTATACCTTGGTGACTTTGAACTTTTCTAATTTCTTAACTAATGACCAACCCCAAAGGTAATAGGTAATTAATTAAATTAATTAAATTGCAATATTTCACTAAATCCGGTTTTCCAATAGGCGGAATTTTCCTTTGAATTTTTTAATTAGTTCCACCCGAGAAATCACAAGGCAAAGAAAAATTCCATTCTGTGTGCAAAATTCTGCCTAGTTGAAAACTGGCTTTTATACACCCCAACAGCTTAAGTTTGGGATTCCACAAAAAAAATAAATTTAAAGGCAAATTTGCTAGGGCATGTCAGATACATTACTTCCATGGATTGTTGCTCATGCATGTTTAATGGTATTGCAAGAAGATGCAGTTACTCAAGAAACCAACCACACATATAGGGTTTAGACAGTTTATATTCTGATAACAGATTGGATGCCAGCATGGGGTAGTTAATTATTACATATAATTACAGATTAATGCTAAAATTAGCCCGCGTGCAGGCCCAAGGGAAATGATAGTAGTTCCCTTGGGCCTGCACGCGGGCTATGCTAAAATTTTACATTATTAAAAAGAGAAATAGTAAGAAGTGGCCCAGTTCTAGTATATTATAACATAATATAGCCTGCGTAGCAGGCGCTATTTAGGGGGGGAGGGCGAAAAATGGAAGGGGCGAGAAAGAAATAGCGCCTGCAGGAAAGCCATATGTTTTCTCATATTTCGCGTCCGTGAGCGGACGCGAAATTCTGATTGGCTAATCAGTCATCAGGAGTTTCCCAATTATATTCCCTGTGGTTTTAGATGAGTTCAAAATAGGGCCTTAGTATTGACGAAGTTCTTCCTAAAGTGATTAGCTATATTGAGTTGGCGACTGGCCACTGTATTCAACCGAAAGAGGAGCAAGATAAAGCAGTTCGGGACCTTTTAAAAGGAAAAGATGTTTTTGCTGTATTACCGACAGGTTTATGGCAAAAGTTTGATTTACCAAGCTTTCGTACGAGCGCGTGATTATCATACGTCAGGGAAAGCAGCTATTATTGTAATATCCCCCATTGAATAGCATTTATATTAAAGACCAGCCAAAAGATATGGAATGGCAATGTTTCTCGTCCGTGGATGTTTAAATCACTATAATTACTATAATCACTATAGTTTATACGCTATAATCACTTTCAACTTAGCCTATTCGCTATAAATTGATCGAGAAAGTTGCCGCTTCGAGTTGCTGTTGTTGTTGTTAACAACTTGTCCTGCGATGGGGAATCTCGTTCTTCTGTGTCGAGGAAAAGACTTTCTAGTACTAGATTTGACACACACATTTAATTTCTTTCTTTATACATATTCGTTGTGTGATTTCTTGGCAACTGCGTTTTGCTTATCTCGCTCAGATCATCTGAAACCGTATTATTTTGTTCTTTAATTATCGTTCTTCCTTTACAAATTTATATAGTTCAGCAACGTTCCTTATTTTCCTTACAAGGTTTACACACTCGATCCGATAAAGTTTCGCTTCGATTCAACTTAAAGCCAATGGACTCGCATGCGTTTGCTGAAATCAAATTCTGACTGCATTGTCTGTCTGACGGCTTAAACAAATTTTCAAAGGAAGGCTCACTTTCACATACTGCTTTTAGATTGCTGTTGCAAAACCTGCATGTATCGTTAGCGCATGCCTATTTCGCTTTTCTACCTGCTTTTTTACAAATTTTTTTGGCGTTTTAATTAAACATAGAAATACACTTTATAGTATACACGCGCATTAACTATGATTATGCATACTGTTGTGAAACCAGATCTGTCATTGGGAAAACCATTAGTTGCGTCTAATCACTGATTGGCTTGTTTTTTTAATGGGCGGGACTTGGGCAGATGGGAAAACATATGGCTTTCCTGCAGGCGCTATTTCTTTCTCGCCCCTTCCATTTTTCCTCGCTCTCGCCTTCGCATTCCCCCCTAGCTTTTCCCACCCTCGCCCTCCCCCCTAAATAGCGCCTGCTACGCAGGCTAAACATAATAGGGTTCTGCTCAAATCTCAATACCATGTGAGTGCCAGGGATCTGTTGGCCCAAATTTGTAATTTTATATTATGCAAACCAGTTTTAACAGCCGAAGTATGATATTATAACTACATGAAAGAAGAGACAATGCATTGATAAATTGAGGCAAGGAAATATAATTTTGCTTACTTATCTGGCTACCTACCTCGGATGTACCTCCTTACCTACGTGGCTACGTAATTAAAGGCACAGTTCAGCCTTTTGAATGATGGTTTTTAAGGTGCATTTCAGCCCTTTTAATTGAAAAAACTAACTAGGAAAATCAATTAAGCATAATTCAAAATCAGCAAACTTAATGTTTTAACATTGTAAAACATTTTTATTGTTAAAAACATTGAGTTTACTGATCTTGAGCATGCGCAGGGTAAATTATTATTAATAACTTGTACGTTGGATTTGCGAGTGCCAGAGGGCCTATATACTAAACTATAGTTGCATTTTCCCCAACTGCTTGTGGTTAGGTCTGGTAAAATATGTATAAAATTCACACTTGAAACTTCCAGCTGCAAAACCCTTCTACAATATTGACTACTGTGTATATAAATCACGTCGCTCAACACATGTACACCATAGTTGCTAAGTGAAACCAAAAAGTAATCGTTTTGAAAAGATATGGTTCAACTCTTTACCCAGCCTGCGTAGCAGCCGGCAGGGGCGTCGAAAGTGCCTCCGTCTTTGCCCCCACTTTTTAACGATGGTCAATAATAAAGCACAAAGTTAATTCATATTATTTCAGTTATGGGTGTTGGACAAAATAATTTGAGATATTTTATGACATTTTATTACCTTTAGAACTCTGTAAATCTCCTTGTAAAGTGCAGGAAATGGCATTTCGCGCTCCTACGGCCTACGCCCCCTGGGCCCTGGCGCCGCTTCTGATAAAAATGCAGATTGCGTAACAATGTAACACATTTGCCAGATCTTTAACAATGGCGGCATTCAAAGATATCTCTATTTTCATAACTGGTTGTAACCGCGGCGTTGGTTTTGCTTTAGTTAAACAAATATTATCATTACCGGATTCTCCTAAAGTATTATTTGCGACTTGCCGTTCCTTAAAGTCTGATAATTCGCGGGAGTTACGTGAACTTGCTGAGAAGAACCCAATCTTACATCTTCTGGAATTCGACGTCACCAACGCCTTGCAACTTGAAAATGTCGTGAAAGAAGTTGAAGCAAAGCTAGCTGGTTCAGGCTTGAATCTTCTTATTAATAATGCTGGTATTTATGATTTAAAAAATTCTGAATATGGCGTTGTTTCGTGTACACTAGATGAGGTTACCCGTGACCTGATGATGAAAGTCTATGAGACAAACGCAGTTGCACCTCTCATGATTGTAAAAGCTTTCCTACCATTATTACGCAGAGCTGCCAAAGATCCACCATTTCAGCCGCAGGCAACAGTTGTTAATATTTCTTCTGATGATGGTTCAGTTGCACTAAATGTGGAAGGTGGTCATTACCAATACAAGTGTTCTAAAGCTGCAGTAAATATGTTGACAGTTTCTCTCAGTCTCGACTATGCCAAAGATGGAATAACTGTAGTCTGTGTTGACCCTGGTTGGATTAAAACTGACATGGGAGGCAAAGCTGCCCCACTTACCCTACCTCAAGCAATACCATCATTGGTGAAGTTGATTGGATCATTGGATCTGTCAAAAACAGGGTCATTCTTGCAGTATAATGGCAATACCATGCCATGGTGACTGGGACTTTTCTAATTTCCTAACAAATGTCCAACCCCAGGGGTAATAGAGGTAGTTATATTTCAACATTTCACTAATAATCCCACAGCTTAAGTTGGGGATTATCAGATACACCCCCTTCCATGGATTATTGCTCATGCACATTTAATGGTATTGCATTCTGCAAGAAGGTTCAGTTACTTCAGAAAGCAACCACACATATATTATCCTAACTATAACTAATAAAGGACTGGATGCTAGCATGTGGTTGTCAAATATTGCAATATAAATACCCACGCCTGCGATCTGGGTGTTTTCTCTTGACATGTAATCTTACTACATTGCATAATAGTTTACTCTTAATTAATAAATTGGAGAAGTTCTCATGTGCAATCTGAATTATTTGATATATTACTTAGAAAATAATTTAGGGCAAAGTACAAAATATAATTAAATATAGTAAGAAGCGGACCCAGTTCTAGTATATTATAACATAACAGGGTTCCGCTCAAGACTAAGTGAATGCGAGATAGCTGTTTAGAGTTGTGCAAACTTCGGTTATTTTAGCTCCGGCAGTCAAAACTCTGGCTCCTGCTCCAGCAGGGAAATTTTAAGGAAATTTCATATTTAAAAGTGGAAGCAGGCAAAATTTTTCAGTGTAATATCTCAAACTCATTAATAATTCACAACGGAACCATGTTGCTTTATTTTGCACACATGATAATACTGGATACCTGGTGGATCAAAAATAATTCCCCTCCCTTTAAGTAGTGATTTACTGTATTCGTATGAGATGTCACTTCAAATCGTCCAACTTGGATTGGACTAGATTTCTAATCCTCGGCTTTGCCTCTGGCTTGATCAAATTCGCAGACTCTAGTCCAGTCCTCATAGAAATATTACTTCAGAATTTATTTTACTCCTTTTTGTTAAAACCATATATTAAATAAAATTAATATATTGGCTAGTTTATGAGTGAAAACAATCAACGACTCTGTTGACTCAACGTTTCGCGCAAAATGCCAAAGACCCTTCGTCAAGGATAGTCGGTCAATCAGTCATCAGTCGATCATGTCCAATAAAAAAGTTAGTTAGAATTACGAAACTGATTGGAGCAAGTAATTAAACTTTATAGTAACTCCAAATCATTCAACAACTTAATTCTTCCATTACCAAAAGTTCATTGAAATATGAAATAAAATTTTTCATAAATTTTGTCTGCCGGAGTTTTCCGGCTCCTGGAAAATATGCCGGTGCCGCTCCGGCGCACAGCTCTACAGCTGTTGGCTCAGAAACATGGTATGTCATAAGATAATTTTAGACTATGCAAGCCAGTTTTAATGCTGAAATATGGTATTAACTACATGAAAGATACAAGAAGAGACAATGCATTGATAAATTGAGGCAAGTATCTTGAAATATAATTTTGCTTGGTATACCTATATTGGCTACTTACCAGGGCATTTTTTAAGAATTTGTCAGTGGGGGGGCCATCTACAAAAAGGGACCATACTATACCGAGTGTGGAGCAATGATAGACGGTTTGTTGGTAACAAAAAGTTTGGTGTGGTATCGCATTTAATAGTAGGGGGGGCAGAGCAAGGCTGTAGGAAGCTCTGAAACAGATTTTTGGATATACATGCAGCATTACATTATGCTGTAGATAGACTGAACCTAGTATGTTTATGTAGATACCACAACTTGGCCGTCACTTAGGAAGCCAGCTTGATAAACTTAGAGTTCCCGACTCCCACGAAGCGCCACCATGGTTGGCACAGAGCGGAAAAAAATTGAAAATTTTGCGTCTCTAAATCATCGGAAATGGCATTTTCAAAGTCTTCTATACGTCTTTTGTCTGGCCCTTTCATTAATTCGTTCATTATGATTTGTGAGTCTATGATATCCGCGAGTCAGGATGGATTATTACGAGAAATGTTATCAAAATATCGATTACAGATATTTGATATGTATATATGATTTCAAATACTTCTAGTTTCGAAATCAAATTGTTTTTTTTTTGGTGGGGGCCAAAATTATCCCCCCCCCCCTTATAAAACACTTGGTTGAGGGCCTGTTGCCCCCTGCGGTCACTAACTTGTCCAACAACTCAAGTCTATAGGGTCTGTGAAATGTAATCCACTGCCTGAGAAATGTTTAAAATCTAATAAGGTATTTATTAAACATAAAAGACAGGACATAAGATTCACAAAGCAAATTTCAGTTACTAGAATATCAAACCTCCCTTCTAAATTCCATGTTTTGCTTATATTTTAGAGAAAAGGGACTTGGACTGGGGGGGGGGCAAAATGGTTGAATGGGAGGGGGGGGGGCACCATGGGGCTGGGGGGCTTTGCCCCCCCCACCCCCAGTTATATAGTTAAAAAATGCCCTGCTACTTACCTGGCTAGGTAAGGAGGTAGTAGCTATGTAGTATGTATGTAGGTAGGTAAATAGGTGGGCAGTAAGTAGGTGGGTAGGCTGTGGCTAGCCAGGTAAATAGGTACTAGGTAGATAGGTAAGGAGGTAGGTAGATGGTTAAGTAGGTAGGTAAATGGGTACAATAGGTAGTAAGTAGGTGGGTCGGTAAGGAGGTAGCTGGTTTAGTGGGTAGGTAAATAGGAAGGAGGTAGGTATCCACCTACTTACTTGCGGTACCTACATATTTACCTCCTTACCTATACCCAACTACCTCGGCATAACTAGCTTTGCTAGATACCTCCTCTTACCTACCAATCTGTTTGCTATACCTACTTAGTAGCTACACACCAACATGTCTAACTATCAACCAAATTACACACTTATTAGCGAGACAGCATACTATCCTTGGCGCTGATATAGTGTTTCTCCAGAGTTCACTCGATCCAATCTTTCGCGCGACCTATATATTGACGCAATCTCGATCTTGGTCGGTCGGTTTTGACCGGATATCTGTCTGCATCTTTTGCGTTAGAGCTTGCGCGGATTCCAATTAGCGAACTTAGACGGAAAATTAGACGGAAATTGTATGGCGCACGTGCATGTGTTATGTTTCCATTCGGTCCATCCTGACTTTCTGATCTCTCTGGACTAAAATTGTATTCTTTCAAAAGCTATAAATGTATTTGTTTATTTTTCAAAAGTTCAAGCAATCAAGGCCACAGCTCACAGGCTTTTAAGCTCTCATTCCCGTCAAGAGCAGTGCTTCTTCATGGGCCGCACTATAGTATAGCTGGCCTAGACTGATACGAAATAGCAACCTACATGGTTGACATAATTATTAATTACCCACTTAGCTTTAGGCTAAACCGTTAGGTGGTTAAATTGAACAAGTATAAGGCCATAAGGGGGCTAGTAAGTTGGTAATGTTAGTAAAGTTAGCTTTCACAACTGTATCTGAAACTGTGTGAATGAGGTATGTAGTCTATGTAAACCCATTGGCATGGATTGTAGAATAACAAGTTATTTTACAATCCATGGTAAACCCTTTAGAAAACACTTTCAATATCGTTTTATAAAATGAAATAATTTAAGAGGATTTTCGTTTATTATATTTTAAAATTTCTTCATTTTCATGATATATGATATGTTGATATTTTTGTTGATAATTATTCACGATTTTTGTCAAAATGTCTAATCGAGAAAAGGCTCATGGGATAGTTTACTAATTAAATGACGTCATAAATCGCTCCGTCTTCAAAAATTAAAATTGAAAAACAGTTTGAAATTTTTGTGTTTGTAAATTTGAAAAAAGTTTGTAAATTCAACTGTAAATTTACCTGCATCATGGCAGAACGTCCAAGACGAAGCAGCCTTTTTGAAGTGGGTTTTCCTCTTCAAAAAGATCGAGGTTCAAGTATTGTTAATATTCAACCAAGTATTTTTGAACATCGACCACAGAAAGTTGTTTTTGAAAACACTTACAAAATGGAGCCAAACAAGAAACTCGAGTTAAAAGAAATTGAAAAACTTATGGAAAACACTCTGGAGTCATTTCTTCAAAATGTTACATATGATGCAATCCGCTGCCGAAGTCTTGTGAACTCTTTGTCGCTGACAATTCGTGAACAAGTAAAGCTTTTGGATTATAAACGTTATAAAGTTACTTGCTGGGTCAACATAATGGAAAACAAATCTCAAGGAGTACGTATTGCAAGTCGTTGTTTGTGGGATGACAAGAAAGATAATCAAGTTAGTGCTGTATATTGCAATACTTCACTTGTTTGTTTGGCAACTGTCTTTTTGGTTTATTGCGAATAAGATTTGTAGCTTTCTGAAAACATAGTCGTGGCTATGTGGATAAAAGCAAATACACTTGAATATTGAGAGCATTCTTTTTCGCCATCAAATCCGTTATAGTATAGACTTCAATAAAAAATGGAAAGTTTTAAAATTATTTTAAATGCTAATTTAATAAAAGATACTAACAACCTGTTGATAATTTACAGTATTAAAAAGTTTTTACGAAAACATTAAAAACAATCCTATACGTTATACATATTATATACATCTTATACCTTTTTATAAAATTAAACTGTATATGAAATTCCTTTTGTAAATCATTACTCGTATTTTGGGTTTTCTTTATTTAATATGTGCATGTCAGTGCAGTTTGTTTCGGATAACTATTTTAGCATGATTTTTATAGCAGACACTGTATAAATTTAGCAGTGGCGGCGCCAGGGGGGGGCAAATGCCCCCCCAAATTATTTTTTGCCCCCCCCATTTTGCCCCCCCTCAAAAAAAATTATTAGTCACTAAGAGCGACTAAACGCTACACAAGCGTTCTGTCGTTATCCGAAAATGTATGGCTTATAAGTTGTCATTACTCATTAGTGAATGCGCGTATACATGAAACTGTTTTTTACAGTTTCAATATTAGTTTGTAAATCTCTGAATGGTAAAACTTGCCAATACTCCAATAATACGTTTCAAAAAAAGACAAAAAAGCTTTAGTTTTGAAGAGTTAAATTCTCAAACGTGTAAGGCAATAATAAGATGAAAGTATCACGAAATTATTTGAATAAACCACATCGCATATATGGGGGGCGAATGTCCTAAAGAGGGGCGATATTCCTAGAGTATTCGCCCCACCCCCCTGGGAGGCGATATTCCTAGGATATTCGCCCCCGGGGGCGATATTCCTAGGAATATCGCCACGTTTTGAGGGGGGGGGGGACGAATTTCCTGGGGGGCGACCTTTTTAAAAATTCTATCTTGCCCCCCCAAAATTTGAGTTTGCCCCTCAAATGCCCCCCCAAATTTGGAAGCCTGGCGCCGCCACTGAAGTTTAGACAAAGCACTGCCACTGACAAAGAACGCCGTGAGTCAAATCATACGTGGTCAAATCCATCTCCCTCTGGGCCAATCTGGCTCGCTTTCTCTTCTATCTACTTTATCCCACCTCTTTCATCATCCTCAAACGTCCCAAATTTGTTCTCATTGGATCCAGACAACTTAGTCCATCTAATTATTCTACAATTCAAAAATTGAAGCCGTGATTGCAGACTCAGCATATTCCCATGAAATGAGAAGACTCGTGTGTTTTCTATTTCTTAATTTAAACAGGGAACTTAAACATTAAGTTAAACCTATTCCAAATACATTTTCAAACTATTGATATGATGAAAGTTATTGTTGTTTTTTATACGTATATTAGCGAGTGGGAAACTTCAACATGGCCGCCATCTATTCAAATGGGGGTAACCGCTGGAATATTCTTGGCTTCAATTTTACTAAAAGAGATGCGCTATCTAGTGTATATAAGATATCTATGGACAACTTCTTCACAGATTACCATGCAGACGACTAGACATCTCGTCCCTATCCCTTCTTGGTGAGATTTTGAAACCTATACTGTTTCAGGAGTCACTCTTTGACTCTCGCCTGACTTATGAGGATCATGTCACTAAAATTATTTCATCATGCATGGCGAAATTAGTGTGAAAGATTGCTTTGATAAAGAGACCTTAACACTGATAATAGACCTTTCCCCTTTTGAGTGAAATTTTGATCTAGACAAGTCTGGACAAAAATTTCATCACAGCTTGAAAGAGCATCACAAAATTAGTAATATTCCGAAGTTTCGTTGCGAAATGTTGTAAAATGCGGATAATATAGCCTTGCGAAGTTTGCCGTTTTTCAGTCATTTAATTGTATTACAAATGGGAAATTGATAATCAGTTTGATCATCTGATGAAAAACGGCAAACTTCGCAAGGCTATATTATCCGCATTTTACAACATTTCGCAACGAAACTTCGGAATATTATAATTTTGCGATGCTCTTTCAAGCTGTGATGAAATTTTTGTCCAGGCATATCTAGATCAAAATTTCACTCATAAGGGGAAAGGTCTATTCAATCATTGGTTATGAGCAAATTATTTTACTGATCCACATCTTCATTGGTACAAAACTTCGCCGCCAGAATTATATATTACGAACACACGTAAATTCGAACATATAACGCCCGTCCTAAAAGACCTAAAACGGTTATCTGCAGAAGACCAGTTGAAATATAGAGATACTCTAATGACATTCAAGTGTTTCAACGGAATAGCATCTTATCTTAGTGATCAATTCTCCCAACGTGCTTCTGTTCTTGAACATGAGACCCGTATACGTAACCGTAATACACATAAAGAAGTTTCAAATATAGGGCAGGAAAACTATATGGAACAATTTGGACGAGATTTTAAAGGATATTAGAAATCATGTTTCGCTCGCTATTCTGGTTTAAATAAATGATTACAAAGCCCAGTCGAATTGTAATCAAGACCCAACCTGCGGGTCTTGATTACAATTCGACTGGGCTTTGTAATAATTTATTTAAACCAGAGTAGCGAGCGAAACATGATTGATATACCTGGTTGCAGTGAACTAACAAAAGGATATTAGAAATTTTAACTCTTGTATATTTTAATATAAATAAACTATATAAATACTATATGTTTTAGTACTTATAAACTATAGACATAATATATTACAGTTAGTTAGGGGCGGACCATTAGAAATCCCAGGAGGGGGGTGAAAATTCTCCCAAAAACATTCGTGCAAAGAAAAATGCCTGGAAAATAAATTCGCGCGGCCATTACGTCAGAGAACAAAATTCGTGCAAGCAAACAGCAAAGTGCAAATAGTCTTGAAATACAATTCTTGCAGAGGTTAAATGAATAAAAAAAATCCTGCAGAGACATGAAATATTTTATACCCCCTCCCGGGATTTCTAATGGTCCGCCCCTTACAAATAGTTATAACTGTAATTAAATCTGGAAAGCCCTGTTGGGAAGTTTTAACAAGTATAACATAGAATTAGAACGTTTATATACACAGTAATAATAGGAACCAGCTACACCGTCAACGTACTTATTTTTTTGATTACGTCGCTTTGTGATAATGCGCATAGGTTTTATGAAAAGTACCAGTTTTTCTATAAATTCTATATCTATACACATACAACACATGGCTTATTATAGGACTCCATTCACACCTTATCTATTTTTAGATGACTAAGCCCCATGTACAAAATTTTAGGGGCTCAAACCATAGAGATTATAAATAACACTAGAGGAGGCATCGAAGTTAAAATTTGGGAACGCGGCTACTGGGGGGGTAAATTTAGGTCCCGGATATAAAATCATGCTTTCATTGGCTAAATTGAAACTCTTCACCAATGGGAACAAGAGTACACATCCGGGACTTGAATTTGCCTTCCAATAGCCGCATTCCTTTTTTTGCCTGATGTCAAGATTGCAATATTGGCATACGCCATTGTATATCACTTCGATATACAATGGCGATTTTATCATCCACATCCATGTCGAGAGTATCTTTAATTCTGCATGAGAGCGCCCTTCCTTCGATTGATCCAGGTATGCGACTAGTCTTAATTCCCTGCTCCTCCTGTTCTTTTTCCTTCCTGTCTTCCAAAGAACATGTAGGAAGGAAAGGAAACATGAGATAAACTTAACATTCCTGGATAAATTGAAGGAAGAACGGTTATATGCGAAATCAGCTGCCGAAACGCTTTCACCACATCGTAAAAGCTGGTTTAAATTATGTGTGATCACAGTAGGAATTTAACATAGGTAAATTAAGTTGTGAAAGATTTGCAAAAAATGTTTGAGGGAACTGACTTGGTGTCAATGAGTTTGTTCCCTGAAACAGTTCTTACAAATCCAAAGAATTTACCTATACAAAATTGCTACTGTGATCACAGGAACCTAATTGAGTGGTGCAAATCAGCGTTAAGCCAGTTTTCTACTTTAAGCCAGTTTTCCACATCAATCGTAACGGAACGTGGCGTATTTCTTTGTTTCCTGAGTACTAGAGTGGAACTAATGACTTCGACACAAAAGAAAATGCTACGATACGTTATAATTACGGTCAGTGAACTATATATATATATATATATATCTGGAACGATAACATTCAGTCATTTGATTGTGAAAACAATGAAGTCTCGATACCAGTCTTTCACGCGGATTGGACGTCAGTCTCAGTCCCTCAAACGTCAGGTTTACGCGGATTGGACGTCAGTTTCATTCCCCCTCTGCAAACCGTTGCACGACCAGTATAAATTTGAACGCAATCACGAAAAAAAATTTAAAACATGGCCAACTCAATGCAATACATTATAGGAGCAAAAAGTTTTGCTCCTAAAATTTACTGCATTGAGTTCGCTGTCGGAAAAAAAGTCGAGGAAAACTTCCCCGTCTAGAGAAAAGAATCACTTTTTCAAATATATTGTGTCGTACTGTCGTTCTGGATGCACAAGGAAAGAGATATTCTTGCGAGAAAATTTCATTTCACAAGTAGGTAAATTGACTTGCAACTGTGACTTTGCCGTTGCCATTTTTTGCGATTGTTTGAATTGTTTTTTAGTTTGCCAGTTTTATAGTTTTTAGTCAATACACTGGTACATTATTTTTTAAAGAATTTATTGTGTGATCGGAATTTGCCTGCCAGCAAAATGTAAATGAATATGTACGTGTGTTTGAATATAAATTAGACCATATGGGCTTAGTAAAAAATTATTTTAATAACTACGTTTCGGAGTATAACTCCATCTTCAGGTTTATAAAAGTGAATAAAGATATAAAAACTGTGATAAAAACTTTCAAAACAATTACAAATTTTATATGTAAGTGATTTTTAATACTGTAAGAATTAAGGGGCGGACCATTAGAAATCCCGGGAGGGGGGGGGTATAAAATTTTTGCGGCACAAATTTTTTTTTCAGTCTCATGTCTCTGCAGGAATTTTTTTAATGCATTTAACCTCTGCACGAATTTTTTTTCAAGACTATTTGTACTTTGCTGTTTGCTTGCACGAATTTTTTTTCTCTGACGTAATGGCTGCACGAATTTTTTTCCCAGGCATTTTTCTTTGCACGAATTTTTTTTTGGGAATTTTCACCCCCCCCCGGGATTT